AAAAAATTGCAACAATAACCCCAAATTTTGAATTAACTCTGTACTTTCCTCGCACTAGGGAAAAAGGAGAAAAAAACCCTGATTGAATAGCTTGAAATTTCAAGCTATTTAGTTAACATTTTAAGATAATAACTATTTTTTTTTACATTTTATCTTATTTTTCAGCGGTGGAAACAAGCTTATTAGAATTGCACGTGTAAAACTTATAAACAAGGAAATAAAAAATAAACTTTTTAAGTTAAATGTACCGTTCTTTATAGTTTAATAAAAGTGAGTAAATATACCTCCTTTTTATTGCTTGATGTTTAAAATAGATATCAGCGCTATTCGATAACAAGGGGTTTAACCAGTATTAGTATCATTTTCCCCCCCACTACTACAATAAAACCGTGTGACGTGGGGAATGTTTATTGTTGGTGAGCGCGGTTAAAAAGCGTACTGACATGCCGTGACGTTGTCCAACAATGTTTTGGTTCCTGGCGGTGACGTAATACACAAAAACATGGTTCCCTTGTTTTGAACCCGTAAAGCGTGCTAAGTGTTTTCTCTCAACTTCGCCACGCACGGAGATGCATTCGCGAAACTGAGTGGCCGGAAAACAATCGTAAAAGACGATGGCTCAGGCCGCAGAGACGTGTGCTGAATCCGGACGCAGGCTGGTGTGTACCATCTGCCGTGTTAAATGTTAGCTTATGAGGCGAGACTGGCAGCGAGCTAATTAGTTAGCTAAGCTAACCCTCGCCACTGTGAGCGTTGGGATATCTGTCAAGTCACTTAAGATGTCCAAGTTTAAGCAAAACGAGGGAAAACGGCTAACTGTCGCATTTTAGAGTCTATAACTTCTTTTCTGATCGCAGTAGTTGAGCGAGCGTAGCGTAATTAAAACGAGATAAATCAATATCTGGAGCAGCGGAGTCGAGCAAACATTTTACAATCGCTTCCATAAAATATCACAAACAGCTGGCTTAGTAGTTTTTGCACTGGTTCACACATTCAAAGAAATGACTGCTGTTATAGTACTATCAAAACTTTAGCACAACCCACTGCTCCAGTTTGAAAGTCACACGTAAAATTAACGATCGGTTCCCTCACACGAGTCACAATGACCGTTCAAGGGGGGCAGAAAGTGGCCTTTTGGGGTAGAAAGAGTTCTCTCTTTCCGCGTGGCTCTGTTTTTGTCTTGTAAAACATCTCGTTTTCAATGGCAGCGCTCCATCTCCCGGACGATGTACGACGAAAACGAGGACCTGTCTGACGTGGAGGAAATTGTAAACATCAGAGGGTTCAGCGTGGAGGAAAAGGTCCTCAGTGACAGCTACAGCGCAGACTTTGTCCGGGTGATGGAGGGTAAAGGTAAAGCAGCACGGTGCATATTAGCTTTCTTATAGGTTACATGTGACTGCAGTAGTTTTCAAATAATTGCTTTGGACCTAAATGTAAAACTACTGTCTTGCAGACTTCACTTATGAGTATGTGCAAAGGGAGGGTCTAAGGATCCCTCTCATTTTTAAAGAGAACGATCAATTAGGGATCAGGTGAGAAACCTTTCCTTTAAATATGCAATGCCTGTGCACATGCTGTAGATTCAACCTACTTTCTATTTTATTTGTATATATATTTATGGTTTTAAGTCTTTGGGAACTAAACAACATGCATCCCTTTCCTATAAATATGCAGAATGCCAGATCCAGAATTCACAGTCAGTGAAATTAAAGGACTAGTTGGTAAGTAGACACCGATGCACACACATGCATATTTTTACCCGTGCATATACTTATTACTCTTAGCCTGTGTGCAAACACGACCAAAGTATATCTGCATCTTCTTCAGAGAATAAGGGCTTTTGCATTGTTGTAAAAAGTAAAAAAACAAACAAACAAACCCCAAAACAGTCTGTGATATGGTGAGGCTCCATGCTGACTTAAAAAAATGTAATGAAGTCATGTTTCATGGTCAAATTTCCTTTTAATTTAATTTATGATTAAACATGTTCAGTCTGCACTAACTATGACTAGACATGTGGGAAGTTTCAGGATAATGAGTAGCTGTTTTAGTTTTGTCACAACAATTTGCTAATTTTATCTGATATTATAGAAATTGCTAACTTGAAAGATATAGTAGAAATGATTTATTTACTGATCTGCCTACCAACCATCCAAATCTAGTGGATGTTGCCGATGCCAAATGCTAGAAATGGACGTAAAAAATAGAAGAGAACGTCAAAAAAAGTCACATTTTAATCATGCATGTTAATACATCAGTGTTGTTTTTTGTATTTTTCTTAGGAAATAAGTTATTTAGTGAGCATGCATCTGTTAGTCACTCTGCTGTATGCCTGTATCTCTGTCTGTGTCTACCTCTTGTACTATTGTGTTATGTGTGTAGGATCATCACGATAGGTTCACCCAGGGCCTCTTGCTCATATTGTGGGGTTATGTTAAAGGTCTCATCATGCTGTTTTCTGTTTGCGACTGTTTTCTAATGCAGTGGAATATAATTATGTTAAGTGTGCCCTGGAAGAAATTGAGCCAGGGTATGATTGGGGTGTAGTTGCCCCATCTAGTGGTTAAATTTGGGAATTACAAATAAGAAGTACTGCTCTTGTTCATAGTAGAATATTTTGCAACAGTACAACTTCTCTGTGTATAAATATGACAAAGCATACGCCGACTCACAGACAGACTGCACTGGATTGTGTGTTGATGTTGATGCGTATGATCTCATTGGCTAAATTCATCATATCCTGGTTGTTTTTCGCAGGCAGTCGCCGGTCTGTGGACGTTATGGATGTGAGCACTCAGAAAGGTTCTGAAATGAGCATGGCTCAGTTTGTCCGCTATTATGAGACGCCAGAGGAAGAGCGGGACAAACTGTTCAATGTCATTAGCTTGGAGTTCAGCCACACCAAGCTGGAGAACCTCATCAAGCGTCCCACAGTGGTAATCTGCCCCCGACCCTCGCTGTGTATCATACTATAAGAGGTTTGATAGAGGTCACAAATCTGGTGAAAGATTCAAAGAAGAATGACAAAAATAGAAGATGATAGAACACTGTGATTGGTTGCTGAATGGTGCTGCTTTGATTGCTCTTATAGGTGGATCAAGTGGACTGGGTGGACAACATGTGGCCTCCTGGTTTGAAACAAAGCCAAACTGAAGCCACCAATATCATCTCAGAGATGAAATACCCCAAAGTGCAAAGGTATGCATTGCACTGTTGTGCTTTTGTTTTTATGAAGTTCTCTTTGGAGCTGTGTGTCAGTCTACGAGGGGTGAAAAAAAAACTGTGTGTAGAGCAAGAAAATAAATACTAATAAAAAGTAAACACTTGTAGAAAATGTCTGTTTCTCCTCCCATCTCTCATCCATCGCTCCATCACGGTAGAGTACTGCATACTGTCACCTCCTGTACGTGCTCCTTGTTGTTGCTAGGCAGCAGGATTTTTTTCCCCCTCCTCGCATAAGAGAAAGGTTTCTAACAACTGTGGTCTGACTGCACACACACACCTCTCAGCCAATCAGCCGTTGAAGAGTCAAAATGAATCAAAACCAGGGCTGCCTGTCTTTTTAATGTCAGCTGCCCATATTTTCTACTGTTACACTTAAACCCTGCTAATCTCCTGTATTGTTCATAGAGGTTAGGGAGATGCTGGCAGTGGTTTAGGGTGTAACAGAGTAGAATATCAAACAAAACGATTTTACTGCTGCAATTTCAGCACACTGTGCAGAAGCTAGTTTAGAATCTATTACTCAAAATAAAGCCATTTTCAAAACTAAAACATTTCAGTCATCTGTACTCTTGTATTTTTCCCTTCAGCACACTCACTGGTGTCTCCTTTGCCTAGAGGCTTCACTTTAAAATTGTTAATCTAGTATACTGTTGCATGAAGACACATCCCATGTTGTTTCTCACCTCCTGTTCTATTTAATTGGACACCAGCTTTTTGTTAGGTACACCTGTTAAACTGCTCATTAACACAAATATCTAATCAGCCTGCTGATGTTCAAACTGAGTGGGGAATGGGGAAGAAAGGTGACATAAGTGACTTTGAACGTGGCATGGTTGTTGGTCCCAGACTCGCTGGTCATATGAAAATGTTGATTTACTGCACAGCCAACCCATCCAGGTTGCTTTGAGTTGATACGAAGGCAACAGAAGCTGAAACAACTTCTTGTTACAGCCAAGTTATGCAGAAGAGCATCTCTGAATGCATATCTTGGACTACAGCAGCAGAAGACCACACTGACATTTTTAAGATGGGGTCAGACCAACATGAAAGCATCCATCCATCCATCCATCCATCCATCCATCCATCCATCCATCCATCCATCCTTCCTTCCTTCCTTCCTTCCTTCCTTCCTTCCTTCCTGCATTGTATCAGTGGTTCAGCCATCTTCTAATGGCTGCTTCCTGCAGGATAATGTGCCAGATCACATAGCTCAAACTGATTTTCT